ACTGGGATACTTACCATATTGTTTCCCCCAATGTAACTGAGTGAATGCATGCCATATTTTACAGGGATGAGTCCTTTATTTGAAGGGCTAGCAGCAGACAGTCTTTATTTTAATGTGTTCCCTGTTTGAAAGGCTGACCCTTCATTCTCAAGGTTGCCTGTTCAGAGTCTCAAGGTTGCACACAAACAGCAGAGTCTGCTTTAGATGTATAGCGGTGCCTCGACTTAACAAACATCCCTATTTACGACCATTTTGAGTTACGACCAGCTTCGGTCGCAAAATTTTGTTTCGACTTGCGACCGGAGCTTCTACTTACGAAGAGAAGAAGGCAGGGGAAAAAGGCAGGGAATTAAAACTTCTAACTGTAGGTGGCAACGAGGCTGCTTCTTTGTAGCTCTTTCGCTCCAGCAGTTAGAGAGTGTGTGTCGGAGGAGGCTTGGGACTGCCTCCTTCTGCTTCTGAGAGTGTGTGTGTGTTTGCAGGGAGGTAAGGTGCTGTTTTCTACTTTTTAAAAACTGTTCTGGGTGTTTTTGCAGTGTGGTTTTGAACTGGAGGGGGTTATGTTTCTGTGCTGTGATGGGTCTTGGGGGGTTTGTGGAGTTTTTTTGGGTTTCCCCCCCATTTCCGATGGGTCTTGGGGGGTTTGGTTGCTTTTTGGATTTGATTTTTAATTTTTTTAAAAAAATTTATATATACAAAAAATACAGAAAAAAACCACATATACTGCTTTTGCAACCGGGGCCTCTACATACAACCAAAAAACAGCTGGAAGGGATTAATCGGGTTTCAATGCATTTCAATGGGAAATGCTGATTTGACTTACAACCATTTCGACATCTTCTGGAATGGATTATGGTTGTAAGTCAAGGCACCACTGTACATTTAAACCTAAATTGGGAAGAGCTCGTCTTATCAAGTGTATTACCAATACTACAATGAATAATAGGTAGGTTTTGATAGTCCTTTGGTCTTGAATGGTGCATTTGGAGGCTGCACAAAGAAGCCAGACCAGACTAAACCTGCTCTCGGTTTCAGTCCCTTACTGATGTTACGGGGCAGCTGAATAAAATAGTGTTTTCATTATATAAACAATAGTCAAAAGAAGATCTTAATTGGCCACTGGTTTATTTATCTATTTAAATTTTTTTACCCTGCATTTCTCCTTAAAAGGACCCAAGGCAGCTAACATTATTAAAAGACAATATGAAACCTAACAACAGTGAGTATACACAAACCAAAAAGGATCGAACAAATGCCATACAAAAACATAAGGAACACCAAAACACATTCAAAGCAGTGAGGTACAACAATCCATTTAAGAACTCCCAGTCAGGCAGCCAGTCACTCATTCTTATTTTGGCTAAATAAACTTTCCCTGCTTGTGCACTATCTCATAATTTTTTTAATATTATAATTCTAGCATTCCAACACTATTTCAAAGCTGGTATGATGTTTGTAGCAATGTTAGAGCGAAACTGGAATGTGGGAGTATAACTTCTGTTTAGGATGGACTGCTCTTATTCCCAGTTCCTTTCAGGATGACACTCATAATAGTATTCTTTTTTAACTTCATAACAGTTCTATAGATTAGGAACTTGCCCGGAGTTACCAGTTACATTCATTGCTGAGAGGAGATTTGAACTCAGGTCTTCCTGTACTTAAATTCTGTCTGTGGTACTGCACTGGGTTTCTTTACTGGAAGGAATAAACAAAGGAAGTAGTGTATTCTAGCGCTCGAGAAATGCTAAGCCATAGCTTCAAAACAAAATAATATTAGAGTTTTCAGAGACTGAACAGAAAGAACCTTGTAAAGGTTTTTTTAAAAGAAAAGAGTACTAGATTAACATTCTCAGTGTTTTTCAGAGTGGGTGCTAAAGATAGGACCTCTTTGCTGAATTAGGATCTCTTTGCTGAATTACCAGGATAGGCAAACTCCACTATCTATCATGCCAAGGGCGTCAGTTACAGTGTTCTGGTATTGTAGTTTTAACTGTTTCTGTTTAGAAATAGAGTGTCAGGGGTTACTGGCAGACATACGCTTCCCTCTTTATGGCACTTGCAGGAGCAGATCTATGCATACAGTGCTGCCTCGCACAGCGAGGTTAATCCGTTCCGGATTAACCGTCGCTGTGTGAAAGCATCGTTGAACGGGGCAGGAAAAGCCATTGGAACGCATTAAACATGCGTTCCAATTGGGCCGAATACGATGCTTTCCTATGGCCGGCAGCCATTTTCGCGCCCTCCCCTAGCTTAACGAGGGCGTGAAAACGCTGTGCGCGGCCATTTTGGGGCTTCCGGCGGCCATTTTGTAGCCACGGAACAGCTGATCGGCGGGTCGCAAAGCGAAGGTCGGTAAGCGAACCGCTTACCGACCTTCGCTCTACGATTTCTGCCCACTGGGGCTGTCGCTCTGCGATCGCATTAGCGATCGAAAAACGTCCCCGTAGAGCGAATTCATCGCTCTACAGGGCGCTCGTTGTGCGAGGCACCACTGTATAGTGCTTTTCAATATGGGAGAGAGTAGCATGCAGATAGGGGGATGTGGTGCCGCTGCAGGTAAAACTGCAGAAGCCTCTGTGCTGCAAGATTAGAAGACCAGCAGTCATAAGATCGAATCCACGCAACAGAGTGAGCTCCCATTGCTTGTCCCAGCTCCTGCCAGCCTAGCAGTTCGAAAGCATGTAAAATGTGAGTAGATAAATAGGTACCACCATGGTGGGAAGGTAACAGTGTTCCGTGTCTAGTCACGCCCCAAAAAGCCATGTGACCACGGAAACTGTCTATGGACAAACACTGGTTCTACAGCTTGGAGCTAGGGACGTGTCCCCTAGAGTCAGACATAAGAGGACTAAATGTCAAGGGGAACCTTTTTAAGCATGCAGATAGACAGAGGTTTTGTGCATGCACCCAACTTTGCTTTGCCACAAAAGAACTGTTGGATCAGGGCCATCCGCTTAAAACACAGTTATGTTTTTGCTTTGAATTCATTCAGAATCAGTGGAACAAGAAGACCTCTCCTTCAGACTTAATTGAAAAGAATTTGTGGATCAAAATATTGATCGTGGAATGACCTTTCAGTCAAAGAAGGCAGATTAAAACAGAAAACATTTTCAGAGAGACCACATTTTGTCAATGGGTAAGAAGGATCAATTAAGAGTCAGCTGTTTTCTGTGACTAGCAGCAGCAAAAGAAATGTATGCACTTTTTAGATTGGTTAATGGATTCTCTTGAGAATTGTCAGAACAAATTAGATTGGCTTTTTATAGATCAAATATTTATTTTAACAAAAAGATTAAGATGGAAAGAATAAATCCCCTCAAGATGTTAGGTGGAGTAATTTATACTTAAACTAGAGTGATAGTGTAATCCCATGATCATTTTAGTTTAAGGGAGATACACCTAATAAGAAGCATTTTTAAGTTTAAAGGGTCTTTGGACTCAATATTAAAGTAAGTATTCTACAGATTTTTTTAAAAAAAAATTTTTACAAAAATTTTACTCTGAGTCAAACCACTGGTAATTTTTTTCTAGGAAGAAACTTGTAACACCTCCGTTTTGAACTTAGAATGTTCAAAATATTATGTGCATTGCCAACACCGATCTGCAACTATTTCAATAGCAAAACATGCCTTATGTTTTGTTTCCTATTTTCTACTTCCTACAGACCTCTTTTCTTAGTTTACAATTTTTTTTACCTACAGTGTAAAGTTTCAGGTTACAGTATTATAATAATAACAAAAGTTCAGGTTGTTATCCTAACGTATTTTTTTTTTACCTACAGTGTAAAGGTTTCATGTTACAGTATTATAATAACAACAAAATTTCAGGTTGTTATACTAACATTAGAACAGCATAGACAATTAGAACAGAGCCCCATAAAATTATTAAAATGTAGTTAGGAGGTATCACATAATTCTCCAAAGGTATCACATAATTTAATAGCCAGGCAAAGTTAAACATTACATCTACACTATTGTAAAAAAGCATGTAGTTCTTACCTTTTCCAGAATAAACTAATATATTTTAAGTGTTAGCAGGGTTTTGCCAACACCTTAATTGTCCAAGGACAGCTGAAAAATGTTGGTCATCTGTTCCATTCCAGCACATGCAATGTTTTACATGAGTAAATCTGTTTCTGCTCATTGACAAGTTTCACTGGGTGGGAAAAGCTTGCTGTCTGCATGGTGGTAGAAGCTCTGTGAGTGAGGGCAAGGGTGAGGGCTAGAACTGGGTCAGCCAAGAGCTGCTAAAAGCTACTTTTGTGTAAATACAGATTTGATCCTTTGCAGAATGTAGGAAATTACTTTTAAAAAGAAATCATTTATTTTCATAATTTGAAGGCTCTCCCAATTAGCTAGTGATATATATTGCTGATTTGTCTAGGGGAAACTACGTACATTTTGGTGGCAAAGTGCTGCTTGTTAATTAAGTGCTGGTTGCATCTCTTGGTGCGTACCTGAATTATGTGATGCAGACTGTTGCAAGCTGCTAAAATGAGATGTGAACAATGTTATATATCAGTTCATCTCAGTGTCACCTCAGCATCCATAAGAAGGTTCAAGGCAGTGCTTGAACCATAAGATGTTCCACTTCAGCCATTTAGTGAGGCTTTCAGTTCATCTCAGTGTCACCTCAGCACCCATATGATGTTCCACTTCAGCCATTTAGTGAGGCTGTACCTCTGAAACTAAAAAAGCAAGTAATAGGGGGAATTATATTGCAAAAGGAATGATATTTGATTTATAATAAATTGATTATGGTTATATTGCAAAAGGAATGATATTTGATTTATAATAAATTGATCATTCGCCTTTCATCCCCACAGATTCATCCATACCACCAGTGTATCTAATGAAGAGACACACTAGGGGTTTTCACTGATGTGATATTTCATGTTATTGTTGTGAAGAGGCTCATCATTTCACTATGCCACCAGTTAAAGACCTCTGAGCCTTTCAAATGAAATATATCTTTTCAAAATGTTTTCTCTTCCACTTTAGGTTCTTCAGAGAGCTTGAAGCAAGGCATCAGAATAATATATTCATAGATGATATCAGTGATATTGTGGAAAAGCATACGACGTCAACCTTTGATCCTTATGTGAAGTATTGTACTAATGAAGTCTATCAGCAGCGGACACTTCAGAAACTATTGTAAGTTACAGAATTTACATTTATATTTTAAAATAGCGATTTAAATACTGTTTATATTGTATGCAGCAACAATGGTTAACTTCTGATGTAGGAAACTATGCATTTTCTTGCTTCTTAAAACCATGCTTTATTTTAGTACCTAACTAACTGAAAAAGACTGCTTACACTATTTGCTGAGCGCGATCTTGATTCTGCTCAGCTGATGTATTCAGTACAGTGGTGCCTCGCTAGACGATGATAATCCGTTCCACTGAAATCGCTGTTTAGCAAAATCATTGTCTAGTGAAAAGTATTTCCCCATTGGAATGCATTGAAGCCTGTTTAATGCATTCCAATGGGGAAGAATCATCGTTGTCTAGCGAAGATCGGCCATAGGAAAGCCGCTTTGCGAACTGCTGATCCGCTGTTTAAATTGCTGTCTTGCGAAGCTTAGGTCCCGAAAACCCCCGTTTTGCGAGCACAGAGGGAGCTTCAAAATTGTTGTCTAGCGAAAATTGGTTTGCGAAGCAGGGACCAAACATTGTCCAGCGAAATTCCTCCATAGGAATCACTGTTTTGCGAATCGCTATAGTGATCGCAAAAAGTCAATGTTTAGCGAAAAAACTGTCATGCGGGGTATCTGTCTAGCGAGGCACCACTGTATTATGTATTTAAGTATTACTGGACCATACACCAAAAAGGAATGCCTGAACAGTGTTGGAAAAGACATGAAGAAAACCCATCACATTTTTAAATATTTCTGGAAATTAAGTTATTTGTCTTCAGATATCTTTGTCCTGTCTTATGTCAGGTTGGACCTATAGGTGCAGCCTTGGTCAGCTGAGGTACAAGGTCAGGGAAGTGTAAAATCAGCCAAGGTCACAGCTGCAGAAGGTCAACAACCAAAGGGTTAATAAAGAGACAAGCAAAATAGAGTGATCCAAAGACACAGTCCAGCACCTATCCAAAAAAATGAGACCAGTCCAGGCAGTATCCATGGCAAACAAACAAGGAGCATCTGGAAGTGTTGTTCACATGTCAGATACAGCCCAGGAGTCAAGAACAGTGTTGCAGACACACAGGATGCTAGAGCATTTACTGACAGTGGAGTTTGTTGCCTCTAATAACTCACAATTTTGAACTGAAGATTTATGTAACTGGGTTGTTGGGGTCCTTCCCAGCTGGCAACAGCAGACATTTGGCTGCAAGGCTTGGCCCATTTCTGTTTCCCAAACAGCTTTCCTTAAAGGAAACCACTTACTCCTGAGGGGATTGTTTCTCCACAGCTGTCTCTTTCACAGCTGAGCATTTAGTTTGCAAGTTTCTATCTGGGCTAGTGCTTTCAGACTATGTCATTCTCATGGCATGATCCAGCTTTCTTCTTTTTCAGTTTTCAAGCTGAAGGTTCAGGCTTTTGCAGTTTCAGGTTTATCCTCATTGGAAGACTATTCACGAGAGTCATTAAAAAGAGCTATTCCGCCCATCTAGACCAAAGGTCTACTCTGGGTGGTTTACAATTTTAAAAACAATAAAACCAAAAACATATATTATAGGTCAAGATGGTGAAGTATAAGAAATTAAGATATGGCAGGAGGGAAAGCTTGCCCAAATAGCCAGGTTTTAAGTTTATTCCGGAAAACACCCAGAGAGAGGGCCAGGCGGATCTCCACTGGCAAGTTGTTCCAAAGGCGAGGGGCCACTGCCGAGAAAGTCCTGTTCCTTGTTCTCTTCTTCTGGACCTCCCTCGGCATTAGGCCCCTAAGCTGCCCAGCCTGGCTGGAATGAGTGGCAGATCTGGGTGAAAGAAGATGCTCTTCCGCATATCGAGGTCCTAAACTGTTTAGGGCACTGGTTCTTAACCTTGGGTTACTCAGGAGTTTTGGACTGCAACTTCCAGAAGCCTTCACCACCAACTGTGCTGGCTGGGATTTCTGGGAGTTGCAGTTCAAAAACATCTGAGTAACAAAGGTTAAGAACCACTGGTTTAGGGCTTTATATGTAATCGTAAGAACTTTGAAATCAATGCAGAAATGAATGGCCAGCCGATGCAGGGCGGCCAGTGTTGGGGAAATGTGTTGGTATCTTTTCACCCCTGTAAGAAGTCTGGCCGCCGCATTTTGTACCATCTGAAGTTTCCACGTCAGTCTCAAAGGCAGGCCTGTGTGGGGGAAATATGTTGGCATCTTTTCACCCCTGTAAGAAGTCTGGCTGCCGCATTTTGTACCATCTGAATTTTCCGCGTCAGTCTCAAAGGCAGCCCCACATAGAGTGCATTGCAGTAGTCTAATCTTGAGACTGTGAGCGCATGTACTAAAGTGGTGAGCGTCCCCACATCAAGATAGGGATGCAGCTGGTCAATCTGCCAAAGGTGGAAATGTGCAGAATGGACCACTGACGACACCCGAGTCTCCATGATGAGCGCTGAGTCCATATGTACACCCAAACTGCAAATCTCACTCTTGGTGGTAAGAGTCATCCCCAGAAAGGAAAGGAAGTTTCCCAGACCATGCCTTAAAAACAGAGATGGTCTTAAGGTATACTTAAATGGCCATAAGAACTTTATGTTAAAAGATGCGATTTTTTTCAGGTCAGAACCTTATGCCTTTGGCCTCACTGATTACAGTGGTGCCTCGCATAACGAGTGCACCGTTTAACGACGAATCCGCATAGCGATCTTTTTTTAGATTGCTAATGTGATTGCATTGCGATGTTTTAATGGGTTCCAAAATGGCCACCGAGTGCCCAAAATGGCCGCCGCAACCATTTTCACGCCCTGTCATAGCTTACCGAGGGCGCAAAAATGCCGGCACTATCGAGGAACTTTGCTGAATGATGAGTTTGGGCCCCATAGGATCGCATTAAGCGAAGTTCCGTTCCGTTTAGCGATGTTTCCTCATGGTGATGATTAATCTGGCACCACTGTATTAGAATGTGTACCCCTGCCAATGTTTTGAAGTTGGACCAAAGGAGTCCTCCAATTCTTATAATTTCTTGTTTAATCCAAAGCAGGAAACTGGTTAACAGCCACAGTTAAGAAAAGTTCTCCTAATTTGTTTGCTCACTAACATGCAGAAGCTGTGTTTTGTGGGCAGATGTGTCATTTGTAGCTTGGTTTATTAAGCTGAGGTACAGTTATCTATACCAGAGCTTGGATAAATCACCTTTTTAAGAAAACAACTCCCAGAATCTCTCAGTCATCTGTGTTGGTTGGGACATTGTGGGAGCATGTTGTCCAAAGATGGAGTGTTTTTAAACACTGTCCTTACGTACTTTCTGTGTTCTGTGCCTTTAAAGATGCAATGCCCAGAAAAATACCTTGAAAAACTAAGGTGTTTTGAACAAAAGTTTACTGTATCAAATCCTCAACTGATTTAAATGTTCATGCTGCCTTTAAAATCAGTATTGTTATTTTGTAGAGCTACTAATCCAGCTTTCAAAGAAGTGCTGTCACGGATCGAGTCTCAAGAAGAGTGCAGGAATTTACCCATGATTTCTTTCCTCATTCTCCCAATGCAAAGGGTTACACGACTGCCGCTACTGATGGATGTAAGAGCAGCATTTCTTATCTCTTTTTGTAGCATGTGTGCCTGTGTTTAAATATATGAAACCAGGTTTCGTGGCTTACTCACTTCAATTTACGTTTCCTTTTTAGTTTGACAAGGTCCAAATGAGCTTCTACATTGAGGAGAAATGCTGAGTTTTCCTATTACTCTACTTTGGCACCAGTGCACATGGATTGTGTACATTAATTTGTAGAGGTCTAAACTAATGTGCCACATTTTTATTTAGGCCTGCTGTTGCTGAAGGCAGGCAGTCATCCTGTTGGAGCAGTTTGGATGACTCTGACAACTTTGGAATTTTAAGTATGCTTATTATGTATAGAACTGAAGAAAGTTTCTCCACCCACCCACTCCAAATATTTTGCTTATTGAACATTGCAGTGATGATTATAACACCTGAAATTCGGAATGTTATAATGTAAAAGAGGACACAATGACATGATGTGGAAAAGAGGCAGGTAGCAGTTATAGGTTATAAGTCACATTTCTATAGTAATTTTCCCCCACTATATATACTTGTAGGAGTGTGAGCTGGATTGATAGGAGTTCCTGCTCCATTCCTTGATCCATAGACTATGACATGGTGGGTTGAACTGAAATGGGGTTGATTGCAACAAGGTGAGGGGCTTACAACTCAGCAGTTCTCAACTGAGTCCGGACTAGTTCTCATCACTGCCCAGGTACTAGTGGCAAGGTTTAAAGATTCCAGGTTTTTCATCTCCTGGTTAACTTCACCGGGAGTGGTCCTAGTGCTATTCTCCTTAATGGGAGTGCTCTCATTGAACTGAGTTTAGGGTCTTCCAACTGAGGATAGTGGGGATGGCTCCTCAGTTCATCCCCCCCTCCCCTGTCCTGCTCATTCTTGAGGACAGCATGCTCTTTGCCACTGCTTCTGCAAGTGCCTTGATTGAATAACAGTTGGCTGCCTGGAGCTGACTTCCTGAGCCAACTGTCTCCTCCCCCTTTGTTCTTGCTTTCCCCAGTATGGTGGGCAAGAGTACAGTGGTGCCTCGCTAGACGATGATAATCCGTTCCACTGAAATAGCTGTTTAGCGAAATCATCGTCTAGCGAAAAGTATTTCCCCATTGGAATGCATTGAAACCTGTTTAATGCGTTCCAATGGGGAAGAATTGTCGTTGTCTACTGAAGATCGGCCATAGGAAAGCTGCTTTGCGAACCGTCGATCAGCTGTTTAAATAGCTGTTTTGCGAAGCTTAGGTCCCAAAAACACCCGTTTTGCGAGCACGGAGGGAGCTGTCAAAATTGTTGTCTAGCGAGAATCGGTTTGCGAAGCAGGGACCAAACATTGTCCAGCAAAATTCCCCCATAGGAATCGCTGTTTTGCGAATCGCTATAGCGATCGCAAAAAGTCAATGTTTAGCGAAAAAACTGTCATGCGGGGTAACTGTCTAGTGAGGCACCACTGTAAAGGTGTCAGTCTTCCTCATCCACAACCTCACAAGGAAAAACAATGCTTGACTTTTAAGAAAACTTTTATCTGAGAAATTCATTTTTAAAAAGTGTTTAGATTTAAAGTAATGAAAATTTAATTGCTATCATACATTTTAACAATAGAGTTCAGTCCAACTCAGAGTCTCAAACTGTAACACTCCTAACAAATAAATTTTAAAAAAATATTAACGCTTTTAACTCTAGATCACTTTTTAAAAATAAAAGTATCAAACAAGCAGAGATGAGTGGAGCACTAAGAGGGCAGTCTAATATCAAGGATGTTGACAACTGATTTAAAAAAAAATGCTTACTCTTTGGATGGTCTATACCCTAATTTTGTGCCCAAGTCAACTCTCACATTAGATGGGATCAGTAATAATGCTTCAATAGAGAAATGATACATACAGTAGCTCTCTGGAGACTGCCTGGTCTCAGACTTCTGCTCTGAGACATCACCAGAAGAAGCCATTGTATGCTGGTTGTTGGTAGAGTTTGCTTGTGCTGTGTTGAGAGGCATATTGCTTCTGGTATCTGGCTCCAAAGAAACAGCTTTCAAAGTAAAACTTCTGGGATGAAAGAGGTGTTAGAGGGAGGAGACGGTGGGAGTGGGGTTTGTGTGTGTGTGTGTGTGTGTGTGTGTGTATGAGAGAGAGAGAGAGAGAGAGAGAGAGAGAGAGAGAGAGAGAAACACTGCTGCTCTGCTGGTGCCAAAGCTTTTATTATGAGAAGGGTCCTTATGAGAAGGGTCCCATGACAACTGATCAGGATGAGAAAGAGAAAGGAAATGAATATTAAGGAAAACTAGAAAGAAAATGGAGTGTCAGGAGAGAAAAGAGGATGTCAGAAAAATGTGTGAAAGTGGGATTTCAGAGAATTTTGAGGGGGTATGTTTCATGGCTGATTGGGGACATGGACCAAGGTCTTTCCAGGGTCACTCCCTTTTGGCTCTAATGCTATCTGATGCTGCTATGTGGTTCCTGACAAGGAATAATTTTGAGACAGATACCCACATTAGTGAATTCTAGTTAAAACAACAAAAAAGTCTTATAGCACTGCAAAAACATGACAACTGATCTATTAAAGTTTGTGCTATGATAAATTTGTTTGTCTTTACAATGGCAGTTTGTTCCTTGTTAATTTGCCACAGAACAAGACAATGTAGCTTTTTTTATTTAAAAACCTGTAGTTCTATTATTGTTGCTGTTTCTGCTTAATTCGTTAATAAATTAATAAACATAATGGACTAATTTGTTCATTCTCTTTATTAGTTTATTTCTAATAACTAGCAATAACTGGCAGAATCTAAATTTGAGTCTGGATAGTTTGGGGCTATCCAGTGATTTTCCTTTCAGATAAAGCTGGATCTTCTATCTCTGTAGCTTTATGCTAATTTTATTATTCACAAACTGCGTTCATTTTATTATTCATTAATTTCATTGTAATTAGTTATATCTCTTGGGCAGAAATTAAGGAATAATGGTTAGCTTTATTATGTTCATACTGTAAAAATAACAAGGAATTAGCAAGGAAAAGTTTTATTATGTTTTTTGTTTCTCTCATGAAAAACATACTCTACCCCCCTCATCATTGGAAGCATATACGTGCAGGATGTTTCTTTTGGTAATGCTTTGTTTTAATAACTTTCTCATGAAATCAAGATTGCACAATGTTGGTTTCATAAATCAAACCGCTTTAATTTTTGTGGAGTGTGAGAAAACATTTTCTTTTTGAGAAAACTTTGGATTACGTCTTCTATTTTATCTTACCAACTAAAGATGTCCTAATTATATTAAATAAATCTCTAGGATCATTTGTTGTTGTTGTTGGAATGAACATGAGGATAGAGTTTCCACCTGGAGGTCTGAAAGAGGGAAAGTAGATCATAGAATGATAGAATAATGGAGTTGGAAGGGGCCATCAAGTCCAACTTCTTGCTCAGTGCAGGACTCCAAATCAAAGGACATCTGACAGACAATTGTGCAATGTTTTTCTTGAATGCCTCTAGCATTGGAGCACTCATCACCTCCCGAGGTAATTGGTTCCATTGTCATACTGCTCTAACAGTTGGAAAGTTTTTTCTGATATTCAATTGAAATATGGCTTCCTGTAACTTGAGCCTGTTATTACATGTCCTGGACTCTTGAAATAATTTGCCCTTCCTCTGTATGACAATGATTCAAGTGTTCGAAAAATGGTGACATATCTCCCATTAGTCTTCTTTTTTCAAGAATAAACATGCCCAGTTCTTTTTATTACATGTCCTGGACTCTGAAATAATTTGCTCTTCCTCTATGACAATGATTCAAGTGTTTGAAAAATGGTGACATATCTCCCCATAGTCTTTTTTTTTTCAAGAATAAACATGCCCAGTTCTTTTATTCTTTCCTCATAGGCCTTAGTTTTCAGTCCCCTGATCATCCTTGTTGCCCTCCTCTGAAGCTGTTCCAGTTTATCAGCATCCTTCCTAAAATGGTACCCAGGTGTGTTAAATATAACTGAAGATGGGCTTCAGAAAAGCCTCATGGAGGATTTTAGATCAAAATGATAATTCCTTCCTCCAGCCTACATCTAGCACAAAATATTTGGACTGACTTTGTGATATATAATACTTCTAGAAAGAAATTTCATACTGCAGTATGCATTCCTTAGATCTCCTTCTTAGAAAGATACTATAGTTGGTTCCCCTATAAGATTAACATGTTAATGCTAATATTAATTATGTATTTTGGATATGCAATCTAAAATGTCATATTCCTATTCCTTCCATTAATTTAACTTTTAAAAATTCTATATATAAATGGACTGACTTTTTGTTTTAGACTATTTGCCAGAAAACACCTAAAGATTCACCAAAATATGAAGCCTGCAAACAAGCTTTAAAAGAAGTTAGTAAGGTATGTTTACATCCATATGATTGGTTTGCAACCCTTTAATATGCCATACATATTCAGTTCAAATAAAACAAACTATTGACTTTTAAAATTAAAATGTTCACGCTAGCATTAAATTTGTATCTTTTTTAACCAGTTCCAAAGAAATGGTCTCAGAATGTTTGTTTTTTTTTTTAAACTTCTAAAAAAAAATCTGGAATTTTACTAATTAAAAACATTAATTAATATGACCCGAAGAGAAGGCACATGTCGTTCCATACTCTCCCTTCTCCAAAGGTAAAGGAGACTGTGTCTTCCTTTCAAAGCTGGGTTTATAGTGGGGTACTTTGCCTTGGCCCTGTGTGTGTAAAGGTATTTTGACACTCAGAAAACTTGGTTAACACAGCTAAGTATCTCAGCTCTTCAAGGAATTGTAGTCCAAGAACATCAGGAACCCCCAATTTGGGAACCATTGCTATATATAAAGGTAGTTGACCAATCCCAGTCCCAGTTATTTTGGTAGAAAACTATAAGAAGCTTTGACTGAAAGTATAACCTTGGTTGGTAGCTGGCTCAGAACCATATATAGCCATATGGGACGGCCTAGCAAGGCTCTGAGCCTACTTCTAACTAAGCCTAGATTGTAAGTCAAAGCTTTTTGTGTTATGGTAAACACTGAAGGTGATAAATTGACTTTCTGTAGAGGGATGGTTCCAAAACTGGAGGCTCTTAATATTCTCAGATTGTAACTCCCAGAAACCTTGAGAAATGCCACAGACAAGTTGTGGTAATTAAGGTTTCCAGGTGCTCGAATTCAAATACCTTTAAAAGGTTAAGTTTAGGGTATTTCGTATAAATCGACTATTATGTGCCCTCTGCATGTTTTAATAGACATGTTAATGATGTTAATTTACTCAGTTACATTGTTTCAGTTTTAATGTTAATAGCAGTGAATTAATCTCCTAATTGATAATGCTAAACTATATAATTTTCAGACCTAGCATTTCAAGCTGTGCTGCCACCTGATCTTCCCTTTTTGCTTTTCAACAACATTGACTTCTTGCCTCTTCTCAAGAAATTCTGTAGTGAGTTCTGCTCTTTCGAAGTATCATCAGAGTTGTAGTCCAGGATGGCAGTTTTGAACATATTGACCTTCTACAATCTGAGTTTTACCTTGCAGATGGGAGCAACTGACAGTACATTCTATTGAATTACTGTTTTCTCTCATAATTTGACCCTGATGCCTGAGGGAGTCAATCTTTCATTTATATATGGTTACCTGATCAGCAGCCATTTTCCATTGCCCTCTTTTGTTTAAGGTTTGGGTGGCAAGGAGAGTGGATCAGAACTATTTATTTATTTATTTATTTGATTTATACCCCGCCTATCTGGACCACCGGACCACTCTTGGCTTCTTCCTTGTTATTTTTATTCTTGTGTACGGAAAGGTACATAGATTGAACATTTGAAAATAAGCATGTCATTTGTTAACAGGTAGATTGTGCCCTGCCATCTTAGGTGTTTCTAATAACCTGACTTATTCACATGCAGATATGTTAATTTTTCACTCAAAAGTGATGACCGCTTTAGAGAGGACGAATGCAGAATCAATTAATTCTGCATTCTGTTACAGTGTTATATTATGCAGCCAACATTATCAGAGGTTCCCTTGAGGATAGTAGAGTGATATGCACAGTAAGATTGGAGAGGGCAGAAGAAATGGCATTTCCTTTGCCTAATACTGTTTTTCCTGCATTGATGTCACTAAATTATAGCTGATAACCATGAATTTTATCTTTGACTCATAAAAATGCTTCTGAAGGCTTGCTAATAGTTTTCCAAATGGTTCCCAAGCAAAAGATACCCCTTGGGCCTTTTAAAAAAGTCTTTATCTTCATCTTCTCCAAATTAATCATTACTTGAACTGAGTTCACTGCTGCTGAAGAGAGAAAGTAGCTTAATATGCCTCCTACACATAAAATTACTAGAAATAGACATTGCTCATATAATTGCTTTCTATCTCAGAAGCTCCAGGTGAATTTTGCCCCCAAGAAAATAGCCAGGAAAGTTTTCTATGTTTTTGCTTCTTTTTCCACTATCCAGTGCTTTAGATAGAGTGTAAAAAAATATTTATTTATTTATTTATTTATTTATTTATTTATTTGATTGATTGATTGATTGATTGATTGATTGATTGATTTCTATCCTGCCCTTTTAGACAAAATAAATCATTTGGTTTCACATTTTCATGGGCATTAGCAGAGGTGATGCTTTTCAGCATCTTAGTGAAGCTTTTCATTGCACTGTTGGGTGACATGATACATCATGGAAAGGAATCAGTTGAATGTGCTATCAAGATTTTTGCATTTTGATAGTTGCTCTAAGAAAAGGAAAAACAAAATTTGCAAATTTTGTTTTTATTTTTTTACTTCTAAACTCTTTATATTCCTTTTTTGTCACATTGAAAATAGGGAGTGTTAATAATAATGCTGATTTTTTTCAATATAAATACCGTGCCCTTGAGTTGTGTGTTTCCTAGTTGATCCCTAAGATTGGCAATAAACCTGGTTGAAGGAAAATACAGACTCGGGTGGGTGTTTGAAGGGGACGAATCCTACATTTTCCTAGTTACTTATTGTCTAAAATGTTCATGCTATATTTGTGTTTTGGATTATGTCAGTGGGGCACATAATTCCATACTGAAGGACAGAAACAATCTTGAGCCTTTATTTGGGAAGAAATGCTAATTTTTATAGGGTTAGTGTGTTTATATGGATTGCATATAAACACACTCCTTCCCCCAAAAACGGGTAGCACTGTGAGAAATATATATACTCAAAGCCATAAAATGCTAGGAAGGAGATCAGAAAGCCAGGAAGAAAGGAATACTCTCTGAAAGACAGTGTGGCTGGCTGACTAGAACATGAAATGTTTGCATGGCACTACAATATATATACTGTATACATTTTCTTTGAAAGGCTGATTTCTGATTAGTTATCTAGAAAATAAAAGTCTACTTGATTCTCTTCATATCATTATGGATATTTGAAAAGAAGTACATTGTAAAAAGGAATAAAATGTTTACAATACTGAATATGAATATGTCAGATAAATAAAATGTTTTCTTTCCCAGTTAGTTCGCCTCTGCAATGAAGGTGCACGAAAAATGGAAAGGACAGAAATGATGTACACTATCAACTCCCAGCTTGAATTCAAAATCAAGGTGTGGTGTTTTCCTTCATATTTATATTGTACAGACCTTTTACCTTTGCTCACTTTTAATGAGTTGTCATGGCTGGAGTGAACATGGTTTATTGCCAGGGGAATGAAGATATTGCTGACATTGTAGAAGACATAAAAGTTCATACCCTGAAAGCAGCTGTGTCAATTGAAGCATAGATAATTGATCTAACTGCTGATAAATATCTAGTCTATCAACTCAAGTGAAAACATTGTTGATTTTTTTAAAGTCTTGACATACATTCCCTAGACATAAACACTAGATGATCACAGTGTACTTCCTCTTCAGTATGTTCTAACATGTAAACGTTCTGAAAAGTAATTAATTGTTGTCTGTCTGAATTTATTTCCCTTGACTTCTCGTGTTTCCAGCGTTTGTTGTGTGCCCATCTTTTTTGACCTTTTTAAAAGGTACAGTTGATATCCATCTCTCCTCAATATTAAGCATACTGGATAAATTTATGCAGTTAAGTGTAAATACTTGCTACTAAATAAATAGTAGATCAGCACATCTAAATTCCAGCAGTTGTTTTCATGTTTAACATTGTTTGCATATAAAAGAATCTAAAAACAGTCATAGGAGACAAAGCAAAGGTTATCACGTCATCTAAGCCAAAGGTCATCAACCCCCAGTCCGTGACATGGTGCCGCTGTGTGGCCTGAGCCAGACCAGGCCGCGGAGACAGACCTCCCCCCTGCACTCACTCCCCTCCCCACAGCTGCTTTGTGGACACATGCGTGCAGCATGAGCGCTCCCCCACCCTTCACGCATGCGCCTGCACAAAGGGGTGGGCGTGCAGGCACTCCTGTGCATGCAGAAAGGGGTGGGGGAGCACTCACGCTCATGCGCATGCCCCCCACTGCTTTGCGCATGCGTCTGAGAGAGCACGTGCATGCCTGTGCACATCCCCCCACGTGTGCGAGCGTGGGGGGGGAGTGCCCCGCCTTCATCAGAGGCTCAGCCAGTCCTCGGTCCCAAAAAGGTTGGCGACCACTGATCCAAGCTATTATCTTATCATCCTTCATACCGTGTCCTGCTTTAGTTTAGATTGTGATATTAAAAATTCTGCAAGATTCTGAAAAGCTAGATGGATTTTTTT